CCCCGCCTCCTCCCTCCCGATCCTGACTCTGCACCATCATCACCACGAACCCCCTATCATCATCACCACCACCACCATCATCACCACCATCATCACCAGCGTCACCACCATCACCACCACCACCAACATCGTCGGTGTCAGCGTCGCCGTCATCGTCATCTTCATCACCGTCGTCGTCAGATTCATCCTGCTGCGCTCTGTCCTTCGTCCTCGTCGTCATCACCCTCAATAATAATAATAATGATAATGATAATCATCATCCTCATCATCATCATCATCACCACCACCACCACCATCATCATCATCATCATCATCATCATCATCATCATCATCATCATCATCATCATCATCATCATCATCATCATCATCATCATCAGCATCATGATCATCATCATCAGCAGCAGCATCATCATCATCGTCATCATCATCAGAATCATCAGCATCAGCATCGTCATCATACTCAGCATCAGCATCATCATCATCATCATCAGCATTATCATCATCACCACCACCACCACCACCATCATCATCATCATCATCAGCATCATCAGCAACATCATCATCATCATCATCATCATCATCATCATCAGCAGCATCATCATCATTATCATCATTATTATTATTATCATCACCACCACCACGACCACCATCATCAGCCCCATCATCATCATCATCATCAGCATCATCATCATCATCCTCATCATCATCAGCATCAGCAGCAGCAGCATCAGCATCGTGGTCAACAGCATCGTCAACATCATCGTCATCGTCATTATCATCCTCACCATCATCATCAGCAGCATCATAATCATCATCATCATCATCATCATCATCATCATCATCATCATCATCATCATCCTCATCATTTCTCATTGGCATCATCATCACCATCATCATCGTCATGGTCTCATCATCATCTTCATCACCATCCCCATCATTGTCATCATCCTCATCAGTATCATCATCAACGCCGTCAGTCAGCATCAGCATCAGCATCGTCACCAGCCATCATCCTCATCAGCATCGTCATCATCATCATCATCATCACCGTCGCCGTCCGCATGACCATCATAATCGTCATCATCAGCATCAGCATCATCATCAGCACCAGCATCATCAGCATCAGCAGCATCATCGTCATGATCATGACCGTCATCTCATCACCATCATCAGCATCGGCATCAGCATAAGCATTAGAATCAGTCAATCATCATATTTATCATCAGCATCATCATCGCCACCATCATCATCAGCATCAGTATCATCATCATCATCATCATCATCATCATCATCATCATCATCATCATCATCATCATCATCATCAGCACCATCATAATCATTGCCATCATCATCTTCATCGTCATCGCCATCGTCATCATCATTATCATCATCGTCATGATCATGATCAGCAGCACCGTCATCGCCGTCGTTACCACCACCACGATCATCATCAGCATCATCATCCTCATCGTCGTCATCATCATCACCGTCATCGTCATCATCAAGCATAGCAGCACCGTCAGCAGCAGCATGACCCTTTTCATCGTGATTGGGATCATCATCATCATCATCATCATCATCATCACCCTCAGCATTACCATCACCATCATCATTATCATCATCAGCATCGTCGTCATCAATATCATCATCAGCATCATCATCATCACCATCATCGTCAGGCTCACCATCATGATCATCATCAGAATCAGCATCAGCAGTACCATCGGCATCATCATTATCGTCATCATCTCAGCATCTGCATTATCATCAGCATCATCATCATGATCATCCTCGACATCATCATCATCATCATTATCAGCATCATCATCACCATCATCAGCATCGCCACCACAACCACCACCATCAGTACATTCCCTCCTCCCCCATCCCTCCTTGCCATCGCCTCCCTTTCTGCTTCCCGCACATCCCCGACCTCCCTGGGCCCCCTGCATCAGTGGAGCAGGGAGGGAGGGAGGGGGAGGAGGAGGGAGGAGGAGGAGGAGGGAGGAGGAGGAGGAGGGGGAGGAGGGGGAAGAGGAGGAGGAGGGGGAGGAGGAGGAGGAGGAGGAGGAGGAGGAGGAGGAGGAGGAGGGGGAGGAGCAGGGAGGAGGCAGGCGATATGACGAGAACGAAGGAGCCCACTACAGCGGCGACGGCGACGGCGGCGGACTCGACGACGGCAACCGCAACGGCAGCGGCGGCGCGCGCGCTCGGGGCGCCTTCCCTCCGGCAGCGGCCTGACGGCGCCGCTGGGCGCGAAGAACGGGGGGAGGGAGGAGGGGGAGGGCAACAATTGCACCTTCGGGGTCCCCTGCCTGTACCGCCGTGTCGCCACCCGCGTCGGGGTCCGCGTCGAACCCACGCACGTCGAGGCCGCGGCGAACCCGTGCCGCATCCGCGCCGAGTCCGCGCCGAATACCCGCGTCGAGCCCACGTCAGGTGTGAGAGAAGAGCGCAACTTGTGCGAGACATACACAGGATGCCCCTAAGATGCAACGCGAGTGGGAGAGGAGCTGGTTTCCAGAAACCCCGTCCGTGAACTTTTTTGGTCGGCGGGTCGAGAGCGGGCCTCTTCCGGTTAAGAGCTAGGCGGGGCGCGCGAAGCACGAATTGGGGAGAGAGGGCGCGGGCGGGCGGGGCCTCAGGCGGCCGGAGGGTGCGGAGTACAGGCGGTGCCGAAGAGCTTGCACAGGAAAAGGTACGCCTTGGACAGGAGGCCCCCGTCCGCGAGCACAGATGCGTGCTCGCCACCGCGACTCGCACGCCGCAGCGTCCCCTCGGGTGCACCGCCAGCGGGGGGCGCCCACCGTCCTGCGACCTGCCCACAGGCCGAGCGGGGGCTTCGCGGCGCGACCCCGAGCCACGCAGACGGCGACGTTGCTCAACGGTGGCGTTGGGAACCAGAGTGTCGGAAATCACGCACCACCTTTCCTGCACTCCCAATATGAAGGGGCCCTGGGACACAGAAATAAATACACACAAATAAAAGGATTCCCCATATTTTCCTATATTTTCTTGGTTTTCGTCTTTCCCCGCACTTCCCGTATTTTCCCATATTTTCTGGGGAATCGACTATTAATTGTGTCTGTGTGTTTTTTCTCCTCCCGACAATATGCGAATGCATCGAACGAAACTGACACGGCGACTTTCAAGAAGGCACGAGCCACGCATTCCCACAGTACCGAACCCTACATCGCCGTTGCCTGCATCGCCGTTAGCGCGTCTGCGGGCAACCACTGCAGCCATTGTCACATGGAATGAGGAAGAGGAAGAGGAAGATGAAGAGGAAGAGGAGGGTTAGAAGGCATAGGGGGGGATGGCAACGTCAGGAGACTTTACGGCCATCAGTGATTCAGCGCCTCAGGCGGAGGAGCAGCAGGGGGAAGGAGGGCTTGGGGCAAGATCAGCCGGCATCGCATCGGGAAAGCGGATCAGACCGGAAGGTGTGCGTCGCATCGGGCCGCGTCAGCGCGGGATCGAGACGGCGTCGCATCGGCCGCGCCAGGATGCACGATGCAAACCACCGGTCCGCACGGGATCGTCGGAGCATCGGGCGCGGATCGGATCGGGCCCGGTGGAGTCGATATCGGATCGGACCGATCGAGCCGAGATGGGCCCGTGCAGGGGAGGGCGGCCTCAGGGAGTCGTTCCGCACCACCATCCCAGGCTGCCCGAGCTGGATGGTCTGGGCACGGATCATCGGCCGCGAGGCCATGAAGGTGGCCTCGCGCCCCGTCGCGGCAGCTACCAGGGCAGGGGTGAGGAGGGAAGGGAACGAGGGAGGAGGAGGAGGAGGAGGAGTGCAAACCAAAACCTCATCAACGATGTTGGGATACACCCTCCCTCCAAGATAAATGTTCATAGGCCCCTGCAAGGGCTCATTTCCACTGAGGGAATTGCCACGTCGGGGGCAACCGTGTAAAAATCCTGCAGCGTGCCAAAACACCATTCTCAGAATTTCAACGCCACGAGCTAACCTGACTGTTTCGTATGGCGCGAACCTGAATCGCGCTGGAACACCATTCCTGGGACTTCAACACCGCGAATCAACAGAACTGTTGCGCCCTGACAGTCCTGAATCGGTCCACAACACCATTTCTGGTACGTAAGCCATGAGAACCAATTGAGCTCTTGCAGATAATTAAAGCGAGTGGACGCGGCACTAAAGCGAGAGGCCACAGTTTGAAAAGGAACTGCCCTCAATCCGTGAAACTCTTGCAATTGTTTAAGACGAATGCGCGCGGCGCTAATGCGAGAGCAACATTTTGAAAACGACCCGCCCTCATGACTAAACCTCTTTCAATGTTTTAAAACGAATGGCGCTAACGCGAGAGCCACATTGAACATGATCGACCCACGAACCCGGAAAGGAATATAGAAATGTAACGCATGGCAACGTTTTCAAAGACACCTGATTGGGTGAAGGGCAAGTGCAATGCTGATTGTATCGATCTTGATGTACCGTGCCGAGGGCTGTGCTGTGCAGCGCTGTGCTGAATAGCGATGTCCCATGCCGCGGTTGTGCTCTATAGCGTCCTGGATCGAGTCTTCCTTTGCATCCGAGTCCTGACCGAACTGATCTGGATCTGAAGCTCGAGCTGCCTGAACACATAGTAGCTGCCCCAGAGCTAATTGACAGGGGGACATGCCAGGAGGACGCGCCGCGAAACGTCCCAAGGGACGCGCCAGGCGACGTGCCAAGGGACGTGCCATGGGGTCGCACCGTAGGACGTGCCAAGGGGACGCGCTACGGGACATCCTCAAAATTCCTGCGCGCGGGACGTGGCACGCGCGAGACATCCCCGGAATTCCTGCGAGCGGGACGTGAAAACAAACATTTCGCCTGAGACATCCTCTGAATTCTGGCCCCCCACGCGGCCCCCGCTCGAGACATCCCCCAAGTTTGCAAAACCAGCGTTTCGCTCGAGACATCCTCAACAAATTATGAAAAACAAGCGTTTCGCTCGAGACATCCGGTCAAAATCCAATGACATCCTGGCAAAACAAACGAATTAGTCGAGACATCCTCAAAATTCCTGCGCGCGGGACGCGGCACGCGCGAGACATCCTTGGAATTCCTGCGAGCGGGACACGAAAACAAGCATTTCGCCTGAGACATCCTCTGAATTCTGGCCACCCACGAAGCCCCCGCTCGAGACATCCCCAAATTTTGCAAAACTAGCGTTTCCCTCGAGACATCCTCAACAAAATATGCAAATTACACTACACCCGCGCACCCAGGGCCACGATCCCTCGTAAATTACGCTACGTCAGCGCTCCCAGGGCCACGATCCCTCGTAAGAGCTCCTGGGCCCTCCTGGGTCTTCCTTGGACCTCTTGGGCCCTCCTGGGCTCTCCTGGAGCCTCCTGGAGCTTCTCCTGGGCCCTCCTTGGGCCCCCTGGTGCCTCTTGGAGCCTCCTGGGTCCTCCTGGGCCCTCCTGGGCTCTCCTAGGCCCTCCTGGGCTCTCCTGGGCTCTCCTGGAACCTCCTGGGCCCTCCTGGGCGAAGTCAAGGTCCGAAAACACATGGGAATTGCCACATTTCTAAAATTCGGTGCCACCCCTCACGCAGGTCGGCGGGGAAAACACAGGGGATTTGCCACATTTCTGGAATTCCGTGCCACCCCTCACGCAGATCGGCGGGGTCAGGGTCCAAAAACACAGGGGATTTGACACATTTCTGGAATTCCGCGCCACCCCTCACGCAGATCGGCGGGGTCAGGGTCCAAAAACACAGGGGATTTGATACATTTCTGGTATTCCGTGCCACACCTCATGCAGATCGGCGGGGTGGGTCAGGGTCAAAAAACACATGGGATTTCTGCTATTTCCGAACTTATGCAACTTCAAGAATCCAAAACTCCGTTCCCAGCGCCGTTCCGGAGGCCGCGGTACCTCGTTATTTATCGAGCGAACGCGTTTACCTCGTTTTTTTATCGTTTAAAGTCGATGTCGGAAAAAAGTTGACTTCACCTGTGAAATATCGAGGTTTCCTTGAAGGCAGTAAAATTCCAAGAGCACGATCTGCGTGAGGGGTGGCGAAAAATGGCCTTCGTCCTCACAATTGAAATCCGCCGGCCCCCTTCGACCTCGTAACTTATCGCACAAGAATTCCGCCGGCCCCCTTCAAGTAAAAACCGAGGGTAAACCAACTAAAAGAGAACCCTGGGCCCATGCCCTTTCCGGGAAAAAACGACCTGCCCTCAATCCGCGACACGTTTTCAAATGTTTGAAGCGAATGCGCGTGGCGCGAAAGAGAGAGCCACAATTTGGACCCCCCCGCCCTCCCTTTGTCAAACTGCTGTCATTTGTTCAGCTTCAGGGTCATAAGTGATGAGAAGTCTCAGGCGAAAAGACCAGCCCGCCCTTTCAACTGCCCTCGGGGAGCGACAGGGAGGAGTGATGTATGAGGAAAGGCAATGGAGGAGGAGAAGGAGGAGCAGGAGGGAGAGGGAGAGGAGGATGGAGAGGGTCGAGGGGGGACGAGGAAGGAGCGGGAGAGAGAGGCCGAGGAGAGGGAAGGGAAGGGCAGAGAGACAGTGGGGGTGGGGCAACGACGGCGACGACGACTAGGAACCAGAACGACGAAGGGAGCCGGCAGCGGGCGCGCCTCGTCGTCGTCGTCGTCGTCGTCGTCGTCGTCGTCGTCGTCGTCGTCGTCGTCGTCGTCGTCGTCGTCGTCGGCGTCGTCGGCGTCGTCGGCGTCGTCGTCGTCGTCGTCGTCGTCGTCGTCGTCCGACGATGCGACGCTTTGAATCCGCGGCCCCAGAGGTCCCGACCCCTTCCTGGGGGGGGATGCGCGATCCGCCCTTGAAGGCCCCATGGGCCCGGTGTGACGTGCCCCTGTCCCACCAGCCCTCTGCTCGCGAGTGAGTGGTCCAGGGAGCTCGCTCTGATAACCCCATTCTTCCCCCTCGCGGAGAGGCTTCCCCCGCCCCCTGCCCAACAATCCCTGGGTCTGGACCCCCCCGACGCGAGGCGTCAGATGGACCGTTTCGGCCCCCGGGTGGCTCCAAGAGAGCCCCAGAAGAGCCCGAGATAGTCTCCGAGATCGCTCTAGGCATCCCAAGATAATTCGAGGTCGCCTCCCACATGTCTCCAAGAGACGTCAAGATCACCCCAAGACGGCCCCAAGTGACCTCCGAGCCTACAAAGGACGCCCCGAGAAGGCCAAAATCCTTCAAAACGACTGCGTTTGTCTAATGTGGTTCGCCTTCTCGCCGTTTTATGTGGACTATCGAGGCCTCAAGATGGTTCCAAGATGGCCCACGATGGCCCCAAGACGGGCCCAGGAAGGCCCCAAGACGGCCCCAAGAGCGCCCAAGACTGCCCAACGAGGGGCCCAAGAGAGCCCCCAGAGGCGATGATTGGGGCCGCGACGGGACCACCGAAATAGGCGACCACGACCCCGCTTTAACCGATGGATGGCCTCCACGATGGCCCCAAGAAGCCCTCAAGTCCTCCAAGAGGGCCCCAAAAGAGCCCCCATAGCGATCCCAAGAGGGCCCCAAGAGGGCCCCAGGAGGGGCCAAGACGCTTCCAAGATGGCCCCAAGGGCCCCACGATGGCCCCTAAGAGGCCTCCAAGGCGCTGCAAGAACCGCAAAGGTCTTCAGATTGACTCCCGCCATCGTCGTCGTCGTCGTCGTCGTCGTCGGCGGCGGCGGCGGCGGCAGCGGCCCTGATCGAGGCAACTTGCGTGGGCATCGTCACTGCAACTGCCCTGGGTTTACCATGTAGGCGGTGATCGGGGGCAAACGCTTCCCGCGGCTACCTGAGCTGAGTGGTTGCCTGCCACCGCGACTCATCGGCGCCCAAAGCAACGGACGCACGGCGAACAACGACAGTCAACCACTCCGCCAAGACAGCCCCAGGCACGCACGACGTAATCGCCTGGCGTCTGTGGCTGTTGATGGACTGGTGGGGATACAAGAATCGATGAAAATTGTCTGGATTGACAAATCAAGTAGTCGAAGATCTGTCCGAGACCGAGGAAACAAACAAAGGAGCCTCGGCTGGAGAGCCGCGAGGGATACGACGGCCGTAATTTGGTTGCGAGGCTTCGCAACTACTCTGGCACACAGAGTGCGCCATGCAACGAGCATGTGACAACAACCTAAAGGACGCGAGATTCATAGAAACGAATGCCGCTGGGCGCACACGCCAACCCTTCAAATGTGAAAGCTTGGATTACTGATCCCTGGCGAGTGATGCAAAAAAGCGCTTGAGAGCTGAAGATGCTTGCTGGGCAACAACACGTACCATTACAGTCGATGAACGTACGTATGTAGGTGCCTAGCGGATGAACCCGAGCTGATGAGACAGAGCGCATTGAGACCGTTCCTACTACTTGAGCCGACGGAAGTAAGTAATCCTGCTCCCTCCTGGAACTCCGTCGGCAGCCCTGGTGAGAATGCTCCAAAACATCCTCGAACCTTTCCAGTCATGCTGGAACCTCCCAAGATATGTTACTACCCTTGCTTCCCCATCATCATCATCATCATCATCATCATCATCATCAGCAGCAGCAGCAGCATCATCATCATCATCATCATCATCATCATCATCATCATCATCATCATCATCATCATCATCAGCAGCATCAGCATCATCATCATCATCATCATCATCATCATCATCATCATCATCATCATCATCATCATCATCATCATCATCATCATCATCATCATCATCATCATCATCATCATCATCATCATCATCATCATCATCATCATCATCAGCAGCATCATCATCATCATAATCATCAGCAGCATAATCATCAGCAGCATCAGCATCAGCATCAGCATTAGCATCAGCATCATCATCGTCATCATCATCAGCATCATCAGCATCATCGTCCTCATCCTCGTCATCAGCAGCATCATCATCGTCCTCATCCTCATCATCATCAGCATAATCAGCAGCAGCATCAGCATCATCATCAGCAGCATCATCAGCATCATCAGCAGCATCATCAGCATCAGCAGCAGCATCATCAGCAGCAGCAGCATCAGCATCATAGCATCATCATAATCATCATAATCATCATCAGCATCATCATTATCATCATCGTCCTCATCCTCATGATCATCATCACCATCATCATCAGCATCATCATCATCAGCAGCAGCATCCCCGTCAAAGTCGGCGTAGGCACCCCCACATAACCACCCACGCACGCACGCACGCACGCACGCACGCACACACACGCACGCACACACCCACCCACGCACAGACACACACACACACACACACACACACACGCAACACACACACACACACACGTACACACACACACACTGCCGCCACCGGACATCACGGGCGACGGGACGATGGTGGCGGTCAGCTCCTGGCGCCTCCTGCTGCCCTGGCACCCGCCCCCCGCTCGGCCTGCCCATCGGCCACCGAGACCGTCTGCGAGCGCCCAAACGGCGGCGGCTGCGAAGGAACGCCGCTGGCTTCTGGGGCCGCCTCCCGCGGGTCGCGGCCGTCGTCGTCGACAACGTTGCACTCGACATCGCCATCTTTCGTTCTTTCATTCCTCGTCAACGCCGCCGCCGGAGGACGGAGGGGGGGAGCGGGGCGAGAAGGGGGGCGAGGGTGGAGCGGGGGGAGGGAAGGACGGAGGGGAGGACATGGGAGGGAGAGAGGGAGTAGAAGGTGGAGGAGGAGGAGGAGGAGGACGACGACAAGATGGGGGGAGCAAGGGAGGAGGGAGGAGAGGAGGCGGGAATTCGGGGAGCGAGCAGGAGTAGCAGGAGGAAGGTGGTGATAACTATGTTGATGATGGTGGTGTCGGTGATGATAATGATGGTGACGGCGACGACGACGACGACGACGACGACGACGACGACGACGACGACGGCAGTGGGAGTGGCGATGGAGACGGTGATGATAATGCTGGTGGTGATGGTGACGGCGACGACGATGGCGAAGTTTATACTGTGATTTGTTTAGTGGTCTGGTGACGAAGTGATAATGCAGGGTGGTGATTTGGTAACGTGGTGTTGTGGTGTGGTACTGTAATGTGCCGTCGATACCGAGGGCGATGGTGACGGCGATAACAATACCGAGGGTGAGGTTGGGGTGAAGGTGGGGGGGAGTGCGACGACAACAAGGAAAAGCGAGGATGATGGCGAAGAACATCCAAATGGTGATGTGACACTGCTGTAGTGATGTCGTGGCGTGGTGGTGGTGTGCTGATGCTGTGGTATGTGGTCTGATTATGTTGTGATGAGCTGTCAATGTGGTGACGTGATGCTGGTGGTCGTGACGTGGTGATGATGACAATGGTAACGCGATGTGCCACGGTCACGGCTCCAGCCATAACCACGGCCACCGCGACACACATACCCGAAGCCAAGGCCACGGCAGCGGCCACTGCCAGTCACAGTCATTGCCGTGGCCACAGCCGCGGCCATGGTCATGCCAGTGGACATGCGACATGATCACGAAGGCGGTCATGGTCGTGGACGTCGCCCAGAGGCCATGGTCACAGGCATGGCCCTGGCCATTGTCATGGCCACGATGACTGAGATAGCAACGGTGACCGTGGCGGCGACGGTGACGGTGATGCCGATGGTGATGAAATTGAGGACGGCGACTGTTATGGTGATGGTGATGGCGGCTGCCATCACAGAGCGGTGGGCCTTCTCCGTGCTCTCCTGGAGCCCCCGTACGAACGAACAGACGAACGAGCCACCGCATCAGGCTAGTCTGCCCTACTTCGGGCATCATTGGTGAAGACACCAAGGCGCCACTCTGCCGCATCCTGCAACACCCAGACTCCCCGTCTTCGCCATGCTGGAGCGTCGCTAGCACATTCACACCAGGTCACCTGCGTGGGCCCCTACGGGAGAACGGAGGGGAGCAGGCGTCAGGGCAGGCGGGCCCTGCTTGCGAACGGGCTCCCCCAGGGAGGATAGAACGGCCAGCGCCATCACAACGCCTCCACAAGTTCGAAATTCGGGGCGGGGGAGGCCTGGTGGTTGATACTCGTCAGTCGGATGAAGCAGGTAGGATACACGCAGTAGGAAGGCTTGAGGTAGATTGGATTTCGGCCCACCCCCTAAGTCCCACCAGCCGTCTGGGCGGAGGTAGTCTAACGGTATCTTTCTCTCCTCTTCCAGAAACGACTTCCCCTTCGGGAAGGGTGACCCTCCCCCTCCACCTGCCCTCCCTGAATGCTTTCGGGTCCCAGACGGAGGGGTTGGAGCGCCCAAAGATGGTCCAAAATAACTCAAAAAAACCTCCAATACTTCAAGATGGCCTCCCACAAAGCTGAAGATAGCCGAAGATAGTTCAAGATGGCCTCCATCATGCCGCCGAAAGGCCCCAAGAGAGTCACAAAATGGTTACAACTGCTCCCGGAGCCCCCCAGACCCCCCAAGAGGACAAAACCCGTACAAACATAAGGAATATCAACATTGTTACCCGACAGTCTTGTGGTGTTGGGCCCTCGTTTGGAATCCGCAGCGCCCCGCGTTCTGTCCTCCTCCTCCCACACCTCCTCCTCCTCCTCCTCCTCCTCCTCCTCCTCCTCCTCCTCCTCCTCCTCCTCCTCCTCCCCCAACACCCACGTTCCTGTCCTTGCCTCTGCCCGCCTCATTATTGTCAAGGCCATCACGTCGTCGGCACCGTGCCCGTTTCGGCACGCCTCTCCTGCGCTTCGTGGCCCCATAGGGAGCTCCACCGAAGGCCCCACTGGAACAGTCCGCACGCATCTCCTCCACCCATGTCGGCACATCCCTCACGCGGTCACACAGGACGCTCCACCGAAGGTCCCGCTGGCAGTCCGCATGCGTCTCCCCCGCCCACGTCGGCACACCCCATCTCACGGTTCGTAGTCCTGTAAAGTGCTCCACCAAAGGTCCCGCAGGCACAGTCTGCACACATCTTCCCCAACCATTCCAGAACACGCCTCACACGCTTCGTGGTCCAAGAGTTGCTCCACCGAAGGTCCTACTGGCACAGTCCGCATGCGTCTCCCCCACCCATCTCGGCACATCCCTCACGCGCTTCGTGTCCCCATGAGGAGCTCCACCGAAGGTCCCGCTGGCACAGTGCAAACCAAAGTTCCATCGACGATATTGCAATAAGCCTCCCTCCAAGATCCCTCCTCGCACGCCCCTGCAACGATTCGTTTTCCCTGAAGGACGTGCCCCGTTGGACGACAACCACTTGAAAATCCTGAACTGTGCTTGAACACCTCCTGGGAATTCAACGCTGCGAATCACTGGTACTGTTGCGTCTTGACGGTCCTGAATCGCGCCAGAACTCTATTCCTGGGATTTCAAGACCACGAATCAACGTAACTGTTGCGCCCTGACAGTCTGACACCGTGCCGAAACACAATTTCTGGGACGCTAGCCATGAGAATCCTTGAAACTGCGGTCCACTCTAAATACGACTGCGCGAGGCGCTAAAGCGGGAGCCACATGTTGAAAAGAACCCACCCGCCATCCGCGAAACTCTTGCGCTGCGCTAAAGCAACAGCCACATTTCGAAAACGACCCGCCCGTGAAACTGTTGGATGTTCAAAAACGGATCTGCGCGGCGCTGAAACGAGAGCCACAGTTTGAAACGACCCGCCCGCCATTCGCGAAACTGCTGCATGTTTCATGCGATCATCTCCAACGGATGTGCGCGGCGCTAAGTCGAGAGCCACGTTTTGAAAACGGCCCGCCCTCCATCCGTGAAACTGCTGCTAATACTGAGCTCCAAGATCAGAAATGGTGGGGAATCCCCAGGCGAAACGCCGGGCCCGCCCAGGAGGGAGGAGGAGGGAGGAAGAGGGGGCAGTGAGGAGCGATCCCCAAACGACCCTGCGTCCTGAGGACCATCGTGCCCTGTGCCATCCTCCCGCTCGAGAGTCGAGCCCCAAACCTTGAGTAGGGCTGGGGGGTCAGGTCTGCGGAACACCTCAAACGGGCGTCAAGGGGCGCAACCAACCTGTTCGGCCAATCTGAGATTGATGCACCACACCTGGCGTCGAGCAAAAAAAACGTGGCCACAAGCGACAAGCTGGATGCTGCACGTCTTCGTCGGCTTAACTAGCGAGGCGCTTGACCTCCTTGACGTCCCTTTTATGGTGGTCCTGCGGAGAAGGGCACTCTCTGACCTGCACTGTTTCCCCCGGGGCCGTAGGCGACCCAAAGAGGAGGAGGAGGAGGAGGAGGAGGAGGAGGAGGAGGAGGAGGAGGGGGAGGGGGAGAAGGAGGAGGAGGAGGAGGAGGGGGAGGGAGGAGGAGGAGGAGGGGAGGAGGAGGAGGAGGAGGAAGGAGGAGAAGAAAGAGGAGGAGGGGAGGAGGAAAGGGGAGGAGGAGGGGGAGGAGGCGGAGGAGGAGGAGGAGGAGGAGGATGGGTCGCCTAAGCCACTCGGAGAAACCCCCCACCTTGACGTCCCTTTTTTTGGTGGTCCTGCAGAGAAGGGCACTCTCTGACCCTCGGCCCAACTCAACCCAAACCCCGCTGCCACCAGCTCGGGAGGAGGAGGAGGAGGAGGAGGAGGAGGCGGAGGAGGAGGAGGAGGGAGAGGGGGAGGAGGGGGGAGGAGGAGGGAGGAGGAGGAGGAGGAGGAGGAGGAGGAGGAGGAGGACGGGTCGCCTAAGTCTTTCGGAGAAACCCTCCACTCTGACCCTCGGCCCAACTCAACCCAAACCCCGCCGCGAACAGCTCTGGGGCGGTCTGGCGCCGCTTGTCCAGCGCCTGACCCACGGGCTCTGTGGCGGACCGGCCCACCTGCGATCGTCGGAGGCTCCTCCTCCTCCTCCTCCTCCTCCTCCTCCTCCTCCTCCTCATCATCATCCTTCCCCTCATGACCATTCTGATCATCATGCTCCTACCCCTCATTCACCTACCCCCACCTACCCGCCCCCTCATCGTCTTCATCATGACCATCATCACCAACACACACAGCATCATCAGTATCACGTTGGGCACCTTCGTCAGCGTCGACGACGTCGACATCCTCCTACATCAACAAGGCGACTAGCCTGGTCATCATCATCATATTGTATTACTCATCTTCTTCATCTTCATCGTCATCATCATCATCATCATCATCATCATCATCATCATCATCATCATCAGCATCATCATCACCAGAGTCAGAATTTATCATCATCAGCAGCAGAAGCAGCATCAGCATCGTCATCATCAGCATCGTCATCATCATCATCATCAGCATCAGCATCATCATCAGAATCATCATCATCCTCATCATCGCCGTTGGCATCATCTACATCACCATTACAATAATAACCCTCATCATCGTCCTCGTCAGCAGCGGCGGCGACAATTCGCCGGCCCAACGGGCCAGGGCGTGCTAAGATCTCCGGTAACTGGTTAACAGTATTAACAGTATTTCTAGTTCGCGCGCGCGGGGCGGCCCCTGGGGGTCCCCCGGCGAAAAGTACCCCGACCAACGCCCGACCGCCGCCCGACCGCCGCCCGACCAAGTCTACTCAGAGATGGTTTTCCTTCTGGGTGCGGCCTCTCAGGCTCCCCAGAGCGCGCTCAGAGTGCCCCAAGAGGCCCCCAAGACTGCCCAAGAGGCCCCCGAGACGCCCAAAGAGCGCTCGAAGACGCCGAAGATGACCCCAAGACGGCCCAAAAGGCCCCCAAGACAGCCCAAGAGGCCTCCCCAAGAGGCATCCAAGACGCCCCAAGAGCCTTCCAAGAGGCCTCCGAAGAGAGCCCCAAGAGGCCAAAATCGTTGATTTTCATTGGTTTTTTCTATGTTTTTTGTGTTCTGGCTTTTTCGGCTTCCGGACGCTCCAAGACGGCCCAAGAGGCCCCCAAGACCGCTCTAAGACGGCCCACGAAGCTCCCAAGACGGCGCCGAAACGACCCAAGAGAGCCCTCAAGACGGCCCAAGTGCCGCCCAAGACGGACCAAGAGGCCCCAAGACGGGCCCAAGAGGGACTCAGGAAGGATACCGAGAACTCAAAAATGGAGCCCTCCGTCCCAGAAGGCGCCCAGGAGGTCCCAAAGAGGCCCCAAGAGGCCTCCAATAGGCCCCAAGATGTCGCCAAGAGGCCCCAGGAGACTCCCAGGAGGCCCAAAAGAAGCCCCAGAAGGCTTCAAACATGTCTCCCAGGCGCCCCCGAACGGCCTCTCAACAGACCCCAAGAGGCCCCCCAAAGAAGCATCTTGACGACGACTCTATTTCGCCCCATCGAGAGACGACCCCCAGGGAACTGCTTCACCATCAAAACTCCCCACGCAACGCGTCCGAACGACACCCGCCCCCAAGAGCGCAACATGGGCAACGAACACACAGACAATTATCCCGGTCAAGCAACCGAACATCGATGTGTAGGAGCATATCTGGAAGCATTCCCCTTAAGATTCGGATGAGAATCCAGTTGTAGAATTCTGCTGTTCTCGCAGTCGTAGTCGCATTCGCGATGACAGTCGCAGTGGCAACGGCAGTCGCAGTCACAGCCTCAGCCTCAGCCTGCCTCAGCCTCAGCCTCCGCCTGCCTCAGCCTCAGCCTGCCTCAGCCTCCGCCTCAGCCTGCTTCAGCCTCAGCATCAGTCTGCCTTCGGCCTCGGCCTCAGCCTCAGCCTGCCTCAGCCTCAGCCTGCATCAGCCTCAGCCTCAGCCTCAGCCTGCCTCAGCATCAGCCTGCCTCAGCCTCAGCCTCAGCCTGCCTCCTCCTCTCCTCCTCTTTCTCCTGCTCCTCCTCCTCCTCCTCCTCCTCCTCCTCCTCTTCCTCCTGCTCGTCCTCGTTCTCGTCCTCCTCGTCTTGCTCGTCCTCCTCCTCCTGGTGCTCTCTCCTCCTCCTCCTCCTCCTCCTCCTCCTCCTCCTCCTCCTCCTCCTCCTGGTGGTCCTCGATCTCCTCCTCCTGGTGCTCTCCCCCCCCCTCCTCCTCCTCGTCCTCCTCCTCCTCCTCCTCCTCCTCCTCGTCCTCCTCCTCCTCTTCCTCCTCCTCCTCCTCCTCCTCCTGGTAGTCCTCCCCCTCCCCTCCTCCTCCTCCTCCTCCTCCTCCTCTTCCTGGTCGTCCTCGTTCTCGTCCTCCTCGTCTTGCTCGTCCTCCTCCTCCTGGTGTTCTCTCCTCCTCCTCCTCCTCCTCCTCCTCCTCCTCCTCCTGGTGGTCCTCGTTCTCCTCCTCCTGGTACTCTCCCCCCCCCTCCTCCTCCTCCTCGTCCTCGTCCTCCTCCTCCTCCTCCTCCTCCTCCTCCTCCTCCTCCTCCTGGTGCTCCTCCCCCTCCCCTCCTCCTCCTCCTCCTCCTCTTCCTGGTCGTCCTCCTCCTCCTGGTCGTCCTCCTCCTCCTGCTCGTCCTCCTCCTCCTCCTGCTCGTCCTTCTTCTCCTGCTCCTCCTGCTCCTCGTCCTGCCCCTGCTGAAAATGTGGCCCAGGAATGGGAGTTCTGGGAAGTCGAAGAGCACGAAGTTGCCTACAGTTGGCTACGGGCATTCAAAATGTGGCCCGGAAATGGAGTTCTGGGAACTCGAAGAGCACGAAGTGGCCTACAGTTGGCTCCGGGCATTCAAAATGTGGCCCGGGAATGGAGTTCTGGGAACTCGAAGAGCACGAAGTGGCCTACAGTTGGCTCCGGGCATTCAAAATGTGGCCCGGGAATGGAGTTCTGGGAACTCGAAGAGCACGAGGTGGCCTACAGTTGGCTCCGGGCATTCAAAATGTGGCCCGGGAATGGAGTTCTGGGAAATAGAAGAACACGAAGTGGCCTACAGTTGGCTCCGGGCATCCAAAATGTGGCCCGGGAATGGCGTTCTGGGAACTCGAAGAGCACGAAGTGTTTGACTGTTGCATCCGGTTATTCTAAATGTGGCCCGGGAATGGCGTTCTGGGATCTCGAAGAGCACTTTGTGTGTGACTGTTGCATCCGGGTATTGAGAATGTGGCCTGGGAATGGAGTTCTGGGAAGGCGAAGAGCACGAAGTGTGTGACTGTTGGTGAAAAACGAGCCCGGCACCCTGCCGCCCGGCAACTCCCCAACACCTGCCCGGACCCCCCTGTGGAGTGATCTGTGAGCTCTTTTGAGTCAACTAGAAACCTATCAGTCTTCGCTGTTAGGTAAAAACCAGCGATGCCATATCACGGGCCGGCGGAATGAGCGAAGCGATTCAATAATAACACTCATCATCGTCCTCGTCAGCAGCGGCGGCGGCATCGTCGCGGTCGGCCTCATCAATCGTCTTCCCCCTGCCCCTTTTATCATGATCCTCCCTTTCCCGCCACAGCTTCTCGTCGTCCTACTTCCACTATCTCGTCCACCTCCTCATCGCCCTCATGCCACCATAGCCGCAGCGCACCAGTTGGGAGCAGTGCAGACGAAAAGGACTGCACACAGCAGCCTCCCCCCACCCCCTACTCCTGTTCCTCCTCGTGCTCATTCTCCTACTCCTCCTCCTCGTATTCTTGATCCTGTCGTTGTCCTTCTGTTCGTCCCCACTCTTTTCGTTCTAGTCATCGCATCCTCCCCCTCCTCCTCCTCCTGCTCCTCCTACTCCTCCTACTCCTCCCCCTCCC